GCCCCCCAAAAGGAAAAAACTCCACAAAAAAAAAAAAAAAAAAAAAAGCTACCTCTGAAAAACGACAAGAAGCTATAATGCTCTTAAAATGTCTCTGCAGTTGGAATATGTAATGCAAACTCTGTTTGGTCCTTTCTATTCAATGGGGGGTGCATGGACCAGCTTCAAAAGCTTGAAAAGCAGAATCTCACAGCCCCTCGGCCCCCACCACCTACATAATTAGAATCTGCACTTTAACCATTCCCCAGGTGGTCCCCATGCACATTAAATTATTTTTTTTCTTTTTTGGAGAGGTTTTTGCTATAGGGCACGTGCGCTCGCCAGACAGACAGAGACAGACAGAAAGCGAGAAATCACCCCCCAGGGGGGATGGCCACGCCGCAATCCCTTCTCCTCCATTCTCCGCTCGCGGGATCTTGGGGACGCACGCACACGTGCCCGGCGTGAGTTTTAAGTCACCAGGTCCGGGATGCGAACTGCGGTCGACTACGTAGGAATCCAGCAACATAGCCATTACGCTAACTGCTGGTCCCCACATTAAATTATTTTTGAGAGAAAGATTTTTGCTATAAGGGTATGTGTGCTCACCAGAGAGACAAAGAGACAGAAAGCGAGAAATCACCCCTTGGGGGGATGTCCATGCCACAATCCCTTCTCCTCCATTCTCCTCTCAGGATTTTGGGCGCATACGTGCACATACACACACCTGGCATGAATTTCGAATGACCCTGGGACCAGACTCAAACCACAGTTGGCAGTGTGGGAAGCCAGCACCTTAACCACCATGCCACCTGCTGGCTCTAATTATTTATTTAATTTAATTTCTTCTTATTATTATTTCTTAATTTCCTATAGAGCACAAGCACTCGTGAGAGAGGAAGTGAGACAACAAGCCACCAGGCCCGGGACTCCAACCGTGGTGGGCCATGTGGGAGTTCAGCATCTTCACCACCACGCCACCTGCTGGCCATTGAACATTAAAGTCTGAGAAGCAGATAATAAATCTAGGTAAATCTAAAAAAATCTATCTAATGAATTGGTATGAAGAAGTATTTGATGAAATCCATCACAGTCTCAAGTGTCTTTTTTTTTTTTTAAGAGAGATTTTTTTTTGCTGTAGGGCTCATGTGCTCCCCAGAGAGACAGAAAGCGACAAATCACCCCCTCCGGGGGGGATGGCCACACCACAATCTCTTCTCCTCCCCTCCACTCTACTCCTAAGATTTTGGGCATGCATGCACACATAGTAGGCATGAGTTTAAGCCTCTGGGTCCAGGACTCTAAGCACGGTTGATTACATGGAAGTCCAGCAACATAACCACTATATTATCTGCTGGTCCCTTGAATATCTCTTTAAATATTGCCTCCTTCTACAAAGGGTCTGAAGAGCTACTTTTGCTACTCTCAGAGGGAAGACAGTGAGAAACAAAGAGGGAACCAAGATGACTCAGCTGGTCTGGATGTCCACAGGCACTGGATTGAATACTGGAAGCATCTCAGACTGTCTGGAACCTGACACCAACCTGGACTCCCAGCAGGGACTCAGAGAAGAGAATGCATGGCAGAGTAACATGTGTGCCTAGAGTTTTCCACTAACCTCTAGGATGTAAGATGGACCAAACTCAGGTCTCGGAGAAAAGCAACCTTAAGGTACAAAGGTACAATGGCGAGCTCTAGAGAATGAAAAATATATTTTGATTCACCCCCAAATATAGTTTGAACACAGTTAGGACTAATACTCTATCTTGGGTACTATGAATCTATCAACTTTAAAAGGAGTAATTTTATTTCTCTCAATTCTTACAGTTCAAAAAAGTACAGGCTGGGAAAAGGGAGGATGAGAAAAAAAGAATTGTTGATAAAAAAGGTACAAAGTCTCAGACTGAAGGAATAAAATTTAGTGATCTAGTGCACTGCATGGTGACCACAGTGCATTATAATGTGACACGTTATTTCCAAATTGCTTAAAGAATAGAATTTCAAAATTCTTGGCATACAATATGAGGAGTTTATAAGATGATAGATATGTTAATCAGCTTGCTTGACTTTTTCTACAAAGTATACATGGATCCAAATATCATATTGTACTCCATAATATGCACAATTATTATTTTCAATTACAAATAAATTAATAAAAGATTTAACTACACAGATAGTATAAACCCTTTAATGGCTCTCTGATTGTCTGCTTTTACTCCTAAGATATGCTTAAACCCCCAACTTATAGAGACCATATATATCTTAACTGAATTCATGTTTTTCATGGTCTTTAGTTTTATTGTAAACATGCAGGGAAACAGTCAACTGGTATACCTGCATCTGTTGTTAAACTGTGGAACTATTTCCATACGAGGTGGTAAATAGGGAAGTCCCGAAGTGACCAGGGAATAAGATTATAACATAAAAGTACCTGGCCGCAACAATAGGATATTGGTCATGTCATTCTCTCTGTATATATATTTTTAATTTCTTTTTTCTTTCACAAGAGATAGAAATACCCTTGACACAATCTTGTCACACTAGGCCACCATCTCCTACAAACTTCCAGCCAACAATGATGACAAGAGTGCCTGACATGTGCAAGTCAACCTGGGGTCCAAAGCCAGGGCCTCCCATTTGACTCCAGTGTCACACAGGGGCACCCCATGGCCAGCGCCACCATGGCTAGGCCAGTTTTCAATGATTAAATAAAAACTTTTTGTTGTAGTTATGCTATTCCCGCAAGTTAATTATTAGTAGGAAACAGGAAAGTGTGTTGTGAAAGTTGAGAACAGAACAATGGACCAGAACAGGACTGGCAGGTGGCCAGGGCGTTAAAGGCGCTCGGACGATCGTGGTTCAAGTCCTGGAACTGGTGGCTTGCTTTCTCACTTTCTCTCTCTTTCTTTCTCACTCTATTCCTCTCTGGTCAAATTAAAATAGATAAATAAATGGATAAATAAAGTTAAATAAAGTAATTCTTAAAAAAAATAAAAAAGAAAAAAGAACAAGGAATGAAGAGTTGGGAAGTTACCACCAACTACTTT